GCTGGAGAACCGGTCGTGCAATCACGTCGTTTTGCCTCGCGGTTCAGTGGTAGCGCTCGTGCACCCCGTCGGTCTAGTGGACCTCCAGTCTTACGAGCCGCTGGACCCCGCCGACGATGTCGCCGTGGAGTCTGCGTCCGTAGAGAGAGTCCCGCCTGGAGACCAGGCCGATATCCAGCTCCAGCCCCGCCTACCTCCTATTGCCCCAGATGAGGCCCTCCCGGAGGACTTGCAGGCCCTTGCCGATCGATGTGAGGACTTGACGCCGGAGGAAAAGAGACGTGTGGCAGACGTCTTGCGGCGCAACCATGACATCTTTGTCAAGCACAATGATGACTTTGGTTGCTGCCCCTGGGTCAAGTTCCGGATTGATACTGGGGATCATCCGCCGATCAAAATGCAAGCCAGGCCCATTCCTATTCATTTGAGGGAGGAGGTAGCCGGTATGTACCGAAAGTACTTAGAGCAGGGTACTTGTCGCCCTAGTCAGTCTCCTTGGGCATTTCCTATTTTGGTTATCCCAAAGAAGACACTTGACAAAAATGGCAAGCCGGAGTTACGTTGCTGTGTTGATTACCGGTCTCTTAACAAGATAACGCGTATCCCAGCATCTCCGATCCCCAGAACTCAGGAACTTTTGGAGCGCTTAGCAGGCCACAGGTGGTATTCCCACGCTGACTTAGCCTCTGGGTACCATAACTTAGAGATAGCCGAGGAGGATATCCCTAAGACTGCTATTGCGCTGCCGGACTCCCTTGGGCTGCCCTCCAGATTTCTGGAGTACACGCGCATGCCTTTCGGACTGTCCGCCGCCCCTGGTGTCTTTCAAGGTGTTACTGACCGGCTGATTCGGCCTTCGCGTCAACCAACACCTGATTGCGACCTCGGTAAGGCAAACGGTGTTTATTTGGATGACATATGTGTGGCTGGTGACGCCTTTGAACACATGCTCCAAATGACCCAGGCCTTGTTCAACCGAATCAGGGCTTCTGGTTTTCTTTTGAAAGCCAAGAAATGCTTTCTTTTTAAAAGGAAGTTAAAGTTTCTGGGATTTTGTCTGACCGAAAACGGAATCGGTACGGATAGCGCAAAGGTGAACTCAATTGTTCATTGGCCCCCACCACGCAACGTGAGTGAGCTGTGGTCCTGGATAGGACTCGTAGGGTTCTATTCGCGCTTTATCCACCGATTGGCCGAAATTCAGGCCCCTCTCACTGACTTGTTGTGTGAGAAGGTTCCGTTCGTCTGGTCGGATGAATGTCAGCACGCCTTCGACACGTTGAAGGTCGCCATGACGACGGCCCCCGTCCTGGGCGTGGCCGACCCGTCTAAGGGCCCCTTCACGGTGCACTGTGACGCCTCTGCCAGGGCCGTCGCGTGCATTTTGTCACAAGAGCAAGATGGCCGTTCGGTGGTTTTGCATTACCACTCGAAGAAAATGCCACGATTAAAGCGCGCCCTGTGTGCCACACACGCGGAGCTGTATGCTTTAGTGGAAGCCACAAGAGTCTTCAGACTCTACTTGCTCGGGCGTCCCTTCACTTTCTACACAGACCATTCAGCGTTACAGTGGTTACGCTCCTTCAAGCAATTGGAGGGGAAGTTAGCCCGCTGGATAATGCGTCTGGAGGAATTTCAGTTTGAAATCCGGCACATGAAGGGAAAAGAGCTGACAAATGCTGATGCGTTGTCTCGTCGCCCTGACCGTCCTTGCGCACCTGATTGCAGAACATGCAAGCGCTTAGAGGACCAGAGTGACGCTCATGACGACGACATCAATTTTCTGGTACGATCGTTCCAAATATACTGCACAGAATGGGACGATAACAAAGTGTCAGCTGCTCAGCAGGCTGACCCTGACATTGGCCCTATTTATCAAGCAGTATTAAGTGGCCAGCGACCGCATTTCCAGCAGATTGTTGGACTCGGTCCGGTCGCAAGGAGTCTCTGGGTGCAGTTCAATTCACTTGTAATTCGGCAAGGGGTGCTGAAACGGTGTTTTGAACACAGCTCAGGAGACCCACAGTTCGTTCGTTATCAGACAGTGGTTCCTAATGACCGAACAACCAATTTGGTGCTTCAATACCATACCGGCCCGAGCTCTGGTTCCCACTTCGGCGTTTGCAAGTGTTACAAACTGCTTCGGGACCGATTCTATTGGCCTGGTATGTACACCAAAATTTGGGATACGGTCAACCTGTGTTTACGCTGTAAACAGGTAAAAGGACCACAGGAAAAGACTCGAACCCCCATGAAAGTGTTCCGAGAAGGCACTTTGTTCGGTCGTTTCCACGTTGACTTTCTAGGACCTCTCGAGCCCTCTGACCGTTTCGGTTATCGGCACGTTATGGTCGTAGTTGAGGCATTCAGTGCTTGGCCGGAGGCGATCCCCTTGCGGACCCTCCAGGCCGCCGAGGTGGCGCAAGCACTAGTGACTGAGGTGTTCAGTCGTATGGGTGCTCCCTACGAGCTGATTACTGACCAAGGTTCGTCCTTCGAGTCGGCCCTCTTCAAGGAGGTCATGGCGATCTACAAGACGCACAAATGCCACATTTCGGCTGGACGGCCCGCTGGCAATGGCAAAGTGGAAAACTACATTCGTAGTCTCACTCGCCAAATTGCCATCCTCGCGTCCGAACAGCCTGGAAATTGGCCTGACCTCTTGCCTCATGTGCTCCACGCGTATCGAGCATCAGTCAACGACTCTACCGGTTTCTCCCCCTATGAAATCCTGTACGGACGGCCCATGCGTGTGCCCCAGGATTTGCAGCATGGTTTGCCACCCCCTGGTTTACCAGCTGTTGCTCTAAACCAGTACCCGGGAGTACTGCGTGAACGGTTGAGCAAAATCCACCACTTAGTAAGGGAGAATACCGCTAGAGCAGCAGCCCGCATGAAGGCCCACTACGATAAGTTCTCCACGATCACGTACTTCCGCCCCGGCGATATCGTTTTGCTCTACGATCGCCGTCGCAGGCGAGGCAAAACTACTAAGTTGTACGCTGCATGGAGGGGACCTTTCAAAATTCTTAGCATGCTCAACGACTGCATAGCTAGAATAGAAAGAGTTCCACACGGGGACCCCGTCAATGATCGCCGGGCCCGAAAACGACTCATCGTTCACGTTGATCGTTTGGCGGCCATTGGTTCCAATCTCGTGGACCAAAATGGCGAATGGGTGACGTTCCATTAACCCTGTGGCCTTCTGCGCCTTCCCCAGACATGTCCAGAGTGAAATCCCGGGTCTTTGTGACCTCTGCCCGGAAGGAGCAGAGCTCGGGCTCCGACACCGACCTGTCCCTGAGCGCCGGCATGGACAACCTGGGACTGGGCAGGTCGCGGTCCCCTCGAGACCGTCGGAGACGGACCAGCTCCTCCAGCTCCTCGAGCTCGCCCTCCCGCTCGCCTCCCCGACGCCAGCGCCGGGCGGTGCATGAGCGTCTCGGTGAACGGCCGCCTGCCGCCGACACCCAGGGCAAGGGCACCCGCCGCAACCGCCCGAACCCCCGGCGACGCCGACTCCGCCGAGGGCGTGCCGAGGTCGGCGCCGGCCCGTCCGGGAACGGAGTCCAGGCCCCACCCACGGACGGCGCCGAGGCCTCCAAGCCTACCTCCAAAGGCCACCCTCGTCCCGCCAAGGCACGGCCGGAGCCTCGCCCGCAGGCCCCCGCCAAGGCCCCCGCCAAGGCCCCCGCCAAGGCCCCCGCCAAGGCCGCCGCCAAGGCCCCTACTGAAGCCCGCACGGCCAAAAAGTCCTGGGCGGCCTTCCGGGCCAAGGGCAGGGCGCGCAACCGGCAGCGCCGTGCCGCCGAGCTGGAGCAACGGCACCAACAGCGGCCCTACCGCGCACCGCCACAGCCGCCCCAGGACACACCAATCGTCGGCCAGCTGGTGGCTGCCTGCAACCAGCTGCAGCTGCAGGTGCAAGCCCTGCAGCAGGCTCAGATGCAGCAGGCCGCCCCAGCTGTCCCCCTGCCCCAGCCAGCCTGGCACATTGGCGCCCCGATGGGGTACCACCCAGCGGCCTACCCCTTCTACCGCCCCTACTAGCAAATAAATAGATGGATGGTTCACTCCACCCCAACCCTTTGGCCCCACCTCCCCACCCAGCTGTGCTTCGCGAAGGAGGAGAAGGTGCACAAGGAGAATGTCGTTTCAATTTCGTTGAAGTAGTGTTTGGGTTAATTTCACCACTGCGTTCAGTCATGTTGCAGTAAGGAACCTGACCACAGGTGCCCTCGTCTGCATCAGCAGAGTGGTAACACTCCAGCTGCGCAGCTAACCCTTTCTCTCCGCAGCATCTCCTCTGGTCCACCCAAATTTCTGTTCGGTTCCGATTGTTGTTCCAGTCCCGTTCCCGTTCCCTTCCTGTCCCGTGGTCATCAGGCCTGGCCAGCCCTCATCACAGCACTGTGACGGGTAGCACTGCAAGATGGAGACCCGGCCCTGTATGGAGAGGAGTCCGCCTCCCAGTGCTATCGTCCTGGAGGTCGCACTTCAAGTCGGAGATAACGGCCCTGTATGGAGAGGTGTCCGCCTCCCAGTGCTGCCGCCAGTCGTGACATCCCAAGACGGCCTTTGATCGAAAAGATGAACGTTCAGTCAGGTTGTCGAGCCCTCCGCTGTTTTCCTGATTATCACTCGCCCAAATGGGGGAACGTTCCACTGGATTAGTACCTTCGGAAACCCACTTTTCTTTGGGGTGGCCACACAACTCTCGTTTTTAAAGAGAGGGGAAGTTGTAGTATTAGAGTCAATTAAAGCCATTTGATCAGCAACGCTGACACACTCTCATCAGCTGGCCGCCAGTGCCATGCTAGCCTCACGCACAGTGGTTTCCCAGGGATTGTTGAGTCAGAGAGCCTAGCGACGACTACCAATAGCGAGCTCAGTCATCGTGCAGCCTCGGTCCAGTCTAGTTGGTTCCGTCCACTCTCTGTACCGTTCTGCCAGACTAATAAACCACTGATCCAGTACCCCTGTGTCTCCTTTACTCAGTACTACCCGACGCTACACAGGGACCCAGGTTCTCCCACATACAAGTCCCTAATTAATAGCTGGTCATCAACAACAGCTTGGGTGAGGACTGAATGGGAATGGTGCCTGTTTACGTAGGCTGGAGCCTCATCAAGTGGAGCAGTTATGTATGTGTGCATCCCATCAATACACCCTACCACTCCAGGGTAGCCTCCAATATCATAAAACTTCTGCTTAATTTGAACTCTTTCTTCTGGCGAAGGCCACGTGATGAACTGTGGAGCCATCACCCGAAGTGCCTCAATGATGTACTTGTAATGGTACAGGACTACTCCAGGTGATGTACCGAACAACAGAGCAGTGTTTTTGAAAGTGTCCATGTTCATGACCACCCATAGACTCATCATTAAACATAAATCAAAGTCTGTTTGTTCTCTCCTCATTTTTCCTGTTTCTCTCAAGTGACTTTCAACTGCCTCTTGAAGAGCCTGGGTCATAATGGGAAATAGTGATAATATTGAGAAATGTTCGATCCATGTTTATTTTAGAGTAGCCTTAATTAAGAATTATGATATTTTGAAAACACTTACATCAAACACCTCTCTGGACATTCGAAAATGTCTCTGAAATGCAAGCCCTTGCATACCTTGCCAATCAGCCACGTTAACTCCGATATTAACCCAGGGAGCATATTCTAAACCATTAATAAGAATTTTGGTCATATTATTAGTTAATAAATTTTCTAAAATTGATAAGTGATCTCTGAAATTAATTTTAATTTTAAATACCTCTCCACTGCTCATCAAGAATTGCTGCCACGATGTTTAAATAGTTGTGAATTGCAGCAAATACAGCATCTTCGTCATCAATCAGTAACAGCAGTTCTTCAAGATTTAATGCCATTGTCAATCAACTTAATCAACTTAATTGGAGAAACTTAAGAGAAACACTGTGAAC